AACTAATCGACGTCTCAAAGGATGGATCACAAGCACATTTTCAGAGCATGTTTTGGGTCTTTTCGTCGGCCTCAACACTGCTGCTGATGTTTGGAACGCCCTTGAGAATGCCTTCGTACAAAATTCTCAAGAAGGAGAACTAAATCTTCTTCAACAAATGACCTTAATAGGTAAAGGTACCGATTTTTCACTTGAGTATTTGGGAAAATTTAAGCGAATTTGTGATAATCTTTCAGCCATTGGAAAACCAGTCCCCGATAGAAATAAATTCTTTTGGTTACTCAACGGGATGGGACAAAGATATGAAACTTTTGTGACCTCTATGCTAAAGCCTCCTATTCCATCATATTTGGATATACAACTTTGAGTTTAATGATGATGGGTTTATTGTCAAGAACAGGATCAAAGGACAAGTAATAGTAAGAGGAAGTAGGAAAAGTGGTCTCTATGCTTTGGAGACAAAGCAGTGTGTGCATTGTTCTCTACAAGATTCAAGAGTATCAATAAAGATGGATGACATTAGCGACTGGGACATCCACAACAAGAAGTGGTTGATTTTTTGGGTCATCAAAACTTTATTTCTTTCAAGCCCAATAATAACATTGGTTCCATTTGTGAAAGTTGTCAACTTGGAAAGTCTTGTAGACTCCCATTTATCCCAACTGATCATGAATACAATGAACTGTTCATGAAAGTGCATTGTGATTTATGGGCCTCTGCTCCTGTTCTTTCTCGTGACAATTTTCGATACTATGTCATTTTCATTGATCATCACACAAGAGTCGCATGGTTTTATGCTATGTGCAATAAATTTGAGTTTTATGATACCTTTGTCCACTTCAGCAACTTTATCCAATGTCAATATGACGGTAGGATTAAAAATTTTCAATCGGACAAAGGCGGTGAATTTGCAGACACTAGATTCAAGGAACTCTTGATTCAATTGGGGGTACTTCATCAATCATTATGTCCAAAAACCCCAGAGTTGAATGGGATAGCTGAGTGCAAACATCGAAACATCACTGAATTAGGATTGACAATGATGTTTCATGCTAATATTCCTCACGTTTTTGGTTTGATTGTTTTTGCACTGCAGCATTTCTCATAAATCGTCTTCCTTCCCTGCAACTTAGAATGGATTCCCCATTTTTTTTGACTTCATGGGAAAACACCAGACTATTCATCTCTGCGCATTCTTGGATGTAAATGTTTTCCATATTTGGGTGATTACCGCAGGTCAAAGTTGGAAACTAAGTCGTTGCCTAGTGTGTTTCTTGGTTACGGTATCAAACATAAAGGGTACAAGTGTTTTTACCCACCTATAGGTCGTCTTTGTATTTCGCGTCATGCGGTGTTCGATGAGACTTGTTTTCCCTTAAAGAACACACTCATCTGCAGGGGTCTCATTCCAATCCTGAAGACATTACAACATTCAATGACTGGACTGCTGCTATGCCTCCACAACATGATTCTGCGGGTCCCTATGATGCTATTTCCATGGCCCAGCAATGGGCAAACCCTCACCATGAACCAGCAGTTCTTCCCAGCAATTCTGCTGAAACTATGCTTAATGATCCTCCTCAAGCTACAACTTCCCAAGCACGTCAACAATCAGATCACCTTGAAACTCTCACCGATGATCAGAAACCAGCAGAAACACATGATCAACGATCCACTACACTCAGAATTTCCCCAAAAACCATGGCCACTGAACTTCCAGAACCTTATCCTCACACAGAAAATGAACCATCACATTCCTTTGACCAATCTACCACTTCCCCGCCTACACATGCAACCACCAGTCATGCGCACCCTCAAATTATTACTCGTTCCCAACATGGAGTCTTCGAGCTGAATCCGAAATAGAGCAATGCTACATAAACTTAAAAAATAGATTTAAAAATTAGATTTGATAATCTCAATCACTGACTTCACTGTGGGTCTCAGTATTTATTAAGACTTATTACCTATTCAATGATTAAGATTATCAAGTCTAATTTTTTAGTCTAGTTTTTAAGTCCATCTAATATTATTCTTCTGAAAGAGCAAACTCTTTCTACTGCACTTATTCCCCTTGAACCCAAATCCATTAAAACAGCCTTGAGACATGCTGGTTGGATGGCAGCTATGCGTGAAGAACTTGACGCTCTTCATGCTAATAGTACTTGGAACCTTGTTCCACGCAGAGCCTCTCAAAATGTGGTCGGTTGTAAATGGGTTTTTGAACCAAAATTGTACTCAGATGAAAGTCTTGAACGTCTCAAAGCACGATTGGTAGCGAAAGACTTTCATCAGCAGGATGGATTTTTCTGACACATTCTCTCCGGTCATCAAACTTGTAAGTATTCGTATTATTTTAGTCATCGCAGTGGTTCGGTATTGGGATCTCCGACAACTTGACGTTAAAAATGCGTTCCATCATGGTTATCTCCAAGAACATGTCTACATGGAGCAACCCCCGGGTTTTCTGGACTCGATTAATCCACATCATGTTTGTCGACTTAAACGGGCTGTTTATGGTCTTAAACAAGTGCCTCGGGCATGGTTTGATCGTTTAAGTCTCTTCTTGTTCAATATGGGTTTCTGCTGTAGTACTGTAGATCCATCACTTTTTGTTCATCACTCTACTCGTGACACCCTTCTACTTCTTCTTCATGTGGACGACATGGTTCTTACCGGGGATAATTCCTTCTTTTTGGACTGGTTTGTAAGTGAGTTGGGATGTGAATTTTCTATCAAGGACTGTGGTGATCTTCACTACTTTCTTGGTATAGAAGTTCACCGAATTCCTGAAGGGCTTTTTCTTTGTCAATCCAAGTATGTGCAAGACCTCCTTGCTCATGCCCAAATGACAAATTGTAAGCCTTTTCATACTCCTATGGCTCTCAAGGGTCACCTTCCTTCCACTGATGATGTTCTTTTCTAGACCCAACATATTATCGAAGTATTGTTGGTGCTCTACGATATTTGACATTCACTGACCAGATATCTCTTATAGTGTCAATTTTGTTTGTCAATTTATGCATGCACCCACTATGGCGAATTGTTGAGTCCTCAAACATATATTATGTTATGTTAATGTCACTCATAATTATGGCATGCGAATATTGGCTACAAGCACTCTCGACCTTTTTGGATTTTCTAATGCTGATTGGGCCGGATGCACTCTCACTCGACGTTCCATTATCGGGTTTTGTAGTTTTTTGGGTAATAACTGTATTTCATGGAGTGCAAAGAAGCAATCCATTGTGGCTAGGTCAAGTGCTGAAGCAGAATATTGATGTATGGCTTCTACTCTTGTCGAGTTGACTTGATTTCTTATCTCCTCCGTGATGTCAGCGTTTTTCTCTCTAGCCCACCTATCTTATACTGTGACAATCTTAGTGCCCTTTTGCATGACTATTAATCCCATTTTACATGCTCGTACCAAAGATATTGAAATTGATTTTAATTATATTTGTGAGAAATTGCTCTGGGTAGTCTCATTACCCGGTTTGTTCACCCAAGAAAACAATTTGTGGATATTTTTATGGGTTAATTATAAATTGTATCCTGAAATATCGTTTGAATCTCAATTTGTATCCTCGGAGATAAAAAATTTTAATTTATACCATTAAATATAAAAATTTGTATCAATGTGTATCCCCAAAGATCAAAAATCTTAATTTACATTTTCAAAGATAGAAATTTGTATCAATGTGCACCTAAAACTAACTGCCGTCAATTTACTGGCTAAAATTAAATTGATAAATTATACTTAGATCCCCTTATATTTGTCACTTAATCTTTATGACCCTTTCACATTTAAAATATTACTCTTACATCTCATGATGTTTGTGCACCTATAATACGTAACCCTTTTTCGTTGATATCTGTTAATATAACCATTAAAAAAATATGATTTTGTCCTAATAAATAATTATTATTTCATATTACCCTTTATTTTGTGGATCCGATATATTCTAAAATTCAAAATCAAACTTACCATTTGAATATCCAATAGGATGTAGGTATTTATATAATTTTTTTATATGCAATACAATATATCACTTAAAACATAATTATTTGAATACCCAAATTGGAGGGACATTTTAAATTGAGAATAGTTTTATTAGGATTTTATAATCGCTAAAAAATAAGATTTCAGGCTAATAAAAAATTATAATTTTATATTCCCCTTTATTTTTTGAAGGAGTCCAAATGATTAAGTAACAAATACGAGAGGATTTAGATATAATTCATCAATTTAGTTTTAAGCAGCAAATTAACGGCAGTTAATTTTAGGTGCACATTGATACAAATTTTTATCTTTGAGAGTACAAATTAAGATTTTTGATCTTTGAGGGTGCACATTAATATAAATTTTTATTTTTGAGAGTATAAATTAAAATTTTTAATCATTTGAAGTGTAAATTAAAATTCAAAAAATCTTTTCGAAGCGCAATTAGGAGTTAACCCTATTTTTATCTAGTCTTCGTCTAAAGGACAATTTCTTCCTCTGCTTATCATACTTGGCCTTTGTCCCCCGCCTCGTTTGAGGGGGAGTAATGGCGATTCTTCATCACACCAAGAGTCCACTACTCAACAAAGTGATGCATCGTCCAGTACTCCACCACGTTATGACTATCAAGCAAATCTCTCTGTGTGTCTTGGATATGGATAGAATCCTCTTAAACCTAACAGATATTGTTGTTATCATATTAGACTTACTAGCTTCAATTTCAAACTCTTTGAGTTTATCTGTATTATCTTATCACGTAAACTTCACCGATTATAAATGACAACAACACTACTCTAATCTCAATAGAGAGACAGAGACAGAGACAGAGACAGTTTTCTCGAAAGTCTATTAATATATACTTGTATCGCTCGTCGGACTTCTGAATTCTGATCAACTCNAGAGAGAGAGAGACAGAGACAGAGTTTTCTCGAAAGTCTATTAATATATACTTGTATCGCTCGTCGGACTTCTGAATTCTGATCAACTCCAGCACAGTGTCTCCAGTTCTACGATTACCACTCTCCTTCTTGATCTCAATTTTCAATTTTTTTCAGAAATCCTCAGAGAAACTGATCTCTCTCTCTCTCTCTCTCTCTCGCTTGTTCATCACCGACCCAGAAATCTTTGCCCACCACATCCCCATTCTTGATCCTGGCATTTTCTCGAATGCGTGGTGAGCTTCGTTTGCGTTAATCATGGAAGATATTGATGGACTCAGCCCAGAAGAAAAAAATATCCTCGGATTCATAACTTCTTTTCTCGACAATGACTCTGTTGTGCAAGCCTCTTTAGCGTCAGATGGGTGTTGGAAATTCGCCTGGGATTCACTCACCGCCGTTCTCGACTTCGAATACGGCCCAAGCAACACCGAAAGAAATCTTTTCACAATGTTCGTCAACGGCGTTCTTGCTCACCGTGATAACTCTCCTATCAGCATGCTCCGCTTCGCTGCCCTCGCAAAAATCGACACAGTACTTATAGAGAAGTGTGTACAATATGCCTTGATCCACCATGCCCGAGAACTCGACATTGGAGCGTTTTGTGATGAGACATTCTTTGAAATGCCATCCGAGTTCTATATTAGCCAGTCTCTGAGAGTGTTAAAGTTGAGCAATGCTACTCCTACCAGATTGATTTTGAACCAAACAGTGGCCTTAACGAATTTGAAGTTTCTTCAACTCAAGAACTTCTTGTTTACGCATCTGAATTTCAATGCACAGATCTTTTCTGGGTGCCCAAATCTTGAAACTTTGGTTTTGCGCAAATGTGCCATTAGTCCTGGGGATAAACTGAAGGTTTTGAATGTTTCAGGGGATAAACTCAATGAGATACAGATATTACCTGGGAGATTTCCTTGGGCCTATGTTTATGATCAACAAATAGAGATTTGTGCACCAAGACTCGCTTGTTTTAAGTGCAAAGGCACTGTTCCTGAACTGTGCTTTAAGGGAGCCATGCCTTGTTTAGACAGTTTGTACATAGACTTGAGCCATCCAAGTTCTTATGAAACGGCTGTTGTGGACGAGAGAAAGGAGAAGATGGAGGAGATTTTGATTAACATGATTGGTGATCTCTGCAACATGATATATATCTTTCTGTCCTCGAAGACCATTGAGGTACTGATGAAACTTCCAATCAATTCGTCTGGTCCAATTTTCAGTACTAATTTATGATGTTAACAATAGTTATTTTCCATTCTTTTTGAGCTGCAGCTCATGTTACTTCAGTCCCCTGTTCTGTTCTATATTTGTGAAGTAGGCAATGAGAATATTCTGGGAATAGTGATACACAAGAGGGAAAGATTAGCGTTGGGATCCATTAAAAAAAAAAAAAACCACAAGCGCATATTTGCTAAGGAATGTGTTTTTTCTTGTTCCCAGATTCTTTCTGCTATTCCCAATCTGTGTGAACGTGGAGCCTCAACATTTGGCAATTTGAGGTCTCAAAGTTTGAGAGCAGATAATAGACACACAGACAAAAATGGATCTTTTGATGCGACGGTCGACACACCTAGGAGCTCTGCCAGTGAGGAGTCCTTGGTCTCGGAACCCCCCAAGGTATAGACAGATATTGTGGGTGCAGAGAGATTGTTTCCTTCTTGTTCACATTGCAAAATCAATATAATTTTTTTTTTCTGGTAGATAAGGTCATATTTCTTGAAGGTTTAAAGAAAGAAATATAAATTCATAACATCATTTTGTCACGATCTCAGAATAAACTACAGATATATGATTGCATGACTTCATCAAGTCATTTATGAAACAAGTCCTCATCATCTAATGTATTTATCTTCTTTTACAGCTATTAGCGAAAAATAACAGGAAAAAGTTGGTAGGTTCATTTCTTCTATCTGCAATTTGCAGAGCTGCCTAACAAATGATTCCAATTTACAATTTATTCTTTAGTTTGCTTTCTGTATTTTTTTTTTCTTTACATTTCTTAGTATATCTAGGTGTAAATTTCTAAATCATTAAGGCATAAAGACTTCCTAGTACAGAAACTATTAGGAGAAGAATTTCTCCAAAGTATCAATTTTTCCCCCATCTGGTTATTGATCCACCCTTTTGTCATTTACAGGAACACAACCTGCCTACATTTTGTAATTTGAAGTGTCCAAATTTGGCATCCAACAGTAAAGGGAAAGACTTGCTCAGTGTACCATCTCGTGTTATGTCCTACTTACTCCAAAGCTTTCCACATGCAAATTCTATAACTTTCGAGCTTACTGAGGTGCTGATTTATCTTTTCACTTTATTCAGTAATCACTTATATTACTACCTGTTCCAAAGCCAAAGAAAACAACATGCAGGAAACAGAAAAGCAGAAGACGAAAGAGGAGTAATCTTTAATGTCTCAAGTTGGTGTTATATTTCTTTCTTTCAGGTCTCATCTGATGAAGAAGACTAATGAGAACTGGTGGATGTTGGCTCCATGACATATTAGCAGCACCTGAGGATAGGTGATGGGGATCGTGCAGGAATTGGATAGATATTTTAGATTAAACAAGAGAGTAATTTAGTATTTATCTTTTAACTTTTAAGGGTTTAGTTATCATTTTGATTATTTATTTATTTTAGGATTTGTGATCTCCTTATATATATAGGATTTGTGAACTCCTTATATATAAGGGATACATATTTGTTATGAGATTAGAATTGATTATTGATTATTGATGTTGCTTCTTCTTAAAATTCCCTTTCTATTCTCATCCTCTTCTTCTTCTTTTCTCATCCCTTTCTTTTTCCCTTCTCATCCCTAATTCTTCCCTAATATGATCTACATCAATAGGTATATAGGTTTTGGTCTTTTGCACTCTGTCAAGAATGCTGCTTGTTGGAGAGAAAATGGTCAGTGCTTCCACTTGTGATATCGGTGATCTAATCTTTGTTCTCAATTTCATAGCCATAGATAGTGTTAAAAGTAGGAAATGTCCCTTTGAACATTTTTTCCTGATGAGGATCATAGGTAATATAGTACCAGCTAGGTTTACATGAACCGTTGAGTTAGCCATTTTCCTTTGACGGTTTGTGCTTGCCGTAAGGTCATTCATGATGTAGTAGATAGTAGGGTTAAGAAATTTGCACATCTTTGTTCCTTTCAGTTGAACTTTTCAATCGTCCAATTTTAATAAGAAAGTACAAAAATTCATGGTTTTAGTCCCCAGTGCAATTCCTACAGCTGCAAGAATGAATGCTCAGTAATTCTTTGCTGCATTACCAATAGATCTTTATGTTTTAGCTATACAAGCAAAGCAGATTCAGAGGGGTAGCCGGGCCTGATAGAATCAGAATGAGCAAAAAACATTTAGAACATCCAAGGACACAAAGAAATTGAATAGCAAAACTCAATGAAAACAGATCAGATACAATAAGCAGAGGAGATGGGATGATCAGAATTCAGAAACTTAAAAGAACTGGAAGCCTAAATCATTGAGGGAAGAAGTGGTACATTAAATCCTTCATCTTGAACTTGAGCTAGCATAAAATTTGAATTCCTCCAACATATTGGAAATCAAGTGGGACCAATCAATATCACAGTGTCTTGTGCCTCTATATCTCCATGGCTGTTCTCTACAGAATCCTGGTGAAAAATTAGGACAGTTTGGTTGCAAATGAGACATTCTTCCTTTGCTTGTCTAAGAGAGAAAACATATCATGTAACATGTGAAATGCCTTACTGTTTTGAATCCTTCTTCCTCTCATCTTACTGTTTATTAATGATTTTATAGTTCTTCTCAGTGGATAAGGATGTCACAATGCATAATTGAATTTGAACAAATGGAAAAAAATTGAAATCAAGTCAGTCTAAATCCATTCTGAATCATTACTAAGGTTTTTTTTCTCACTTCTTACAGAACTCTTTTTCCTTCTCCCCCAACCACCAAAAAAAAGCTTCTTCCATTTTCCCTTTCTTTTTTTTTTTTTCTCTCTCTTTGTTTTTTTTGTTTTATTGGTCTCTATCTCATTTTCTCATGACGGGCTAGAGCTGGCAAGTGATAGAAAGGATAAGAATTCCGAATTTACAACATGTTTAAGGATGAACTTCATACCATGGGTTAACTTTGTTGGTTCTAGATCAAGGATTTTTGTGAAGTCAAGTTCATGCTATGGCCTTTACACCACTGGCTCAACCTTAATGCCAGAACCAACTTGTACACCACTGAGATCACAATTATATTACAAAGATATGATGTGACATTTTGTCTGTTTTTATTTTATTTTTCTTTCAAAGCTGCTTCTGCCACAACAAATATAAATCTCATTGAATTTGAATTCTGCAAAAGAAAATGAGAAAAATGACCAATGGGTTCTCTCCATTTCATCGAGTGTTCTTCGTCAAGGTGGTGGTTGTTGGAAAGAAAATTGTTAGTTTTTCTACTTGTGATATAGGTGAGATCTTGTTGTTGTATTGAACCTTATAGGCTTGGATAGTGTTAAAAGTAGGACATGTTCCTTCGAACGTTATAAAAAGTAGGGTTGAGTTAGTCTTACTTCTTTGATCCTTTGTGCCCAAGTCATTCATAAACATCATATAGTAAATTGTGATAAATATGGGAGATTTCACACCTTTTTATTATTTATGTTGCCGAATCGTGAAATTTTCAGGGTCGTGTCGTGTTAGGTTTAAAGCATGTCAAGGGTGCCGGTGAAATTTGATGCCTTTAATTTTACGTGGGACTTCTTTGGGTGGGAGACCAAGTGTGATATCATTGAGTTAGAAAATCTGCACATTGTTGTTTCCTTTCAGTTAGATTGTTCCATCCTTCAATCGTTTAAAACAATTTAGCCCCTTTGTAAGTTTCCAATTTCAATTAAGAAAATAAAAAAAATCCAAGGTTTTAGTGGACGGTGCACTGCATACAGCCGCAAGACTGAAATAATTCTTGGCTGCATGCATTTTACCCATGGATCTGTTATGTTTTTGCTATACTAGCAAAGCAGATATCATGAGAGAAATGGAAGAGCAATGAGCAGAGGAGTAACAGGGCTGGTAGAAACAGAATCACCAAAAAACAATTTAGTACACTCAAGGAACAAAAAGGAATTGAATAGCAAAACTCGATGAAATCCAATAAGATGCAATAAGCAGAGGAAATGGGATGATCAGAATTCAGAACCTGAGGTAATTGGAAGAAGAAATCATTTAGGAGAATCAGAGGTACATGAAATGCTTCATCTTCAACTGGAGCTAATGTGACTTGAATTTCTCCAACTTGACTTGAATTTCTCTAACTTATTTGGCATCCAATGAGACCAAGATCAAGGTGTCTTGTGCAAATTCTTGTGAAAAACTTGGGGCAGCTTGGTTGCAAAGGAGCCATTCTTCCTTTGCTTGTCTAAGCGAAACCATATCATGTAACATGTGAGATGCATTACTGTTTTAAATCCTCTTTCTTCTCTCATTCACCCCTGTAGGGTCATTTAATATTTACAAGAAAAATGTCAGACTAACCTTGCTTCGGAAAATGTGGTGAAGTTATGGTTCTTCTCAATGGATTAGGATGTTCTAAATTTCTAATTTCATCGATTTCCAAGTTTCATAATCCATATCACTGCCAGGTCTCATCTGAAGTAGGGTAATGAGCAATGGTGGTGTCACTCCATGACATATTAGCAGCACCAGAGGATGTGTATGGATTTTGGTCTATTGTACTCTCAAAAGTCTAAAAGAATACTGCTGTTGGATAGAAAAGATCAGTACTTCTAGTTGTGCTATAGGTGATCAATGTTGTATTCTATTACATGGCCATAGATAGAATGAAACTAGGAAATGTCCCTTAAAACAGTCGTTTCCTGATGGGGATTATAGACTGTACGGGACTTAACAGGGTTACACGAAAGTTTGAGTTAGTCACAATTCATTGATCCTTTATGCAAAGTCATTCATGTTATATTAAATAGTCGGGAAATATGGGAGGTTTCACATATCCGTTTACTATTCATGTTGGAGGGTTGTTTATCTTTTGGATTTCTTATTTGGTTCGAATTGTATCAAGGTCTGAAAATTTTACGCTTCTTGTTAAAGTCCGAAAGGACTTAAGATCTCAAAACACTACTTTACCTATGCGAACCAGCGTGAGGCGATTGAAATGAAGCATAAGACTACTTCTATGTTCTTTTTCTGTTTTAGAGATCAATGACTTAAACTATTTCCATGAAAGGAGAAGGCTAACAAGTCGTTAAAAAAAAAAAAGACGATTGAATGGAATTGGAACAAACGATAAATTAAATAACAAAGCAGGATTGTTGTATGAACTGCTGTGTATTTGAATTGAAACTGAGAATTCTCCAGAGTGACAATGGAATTACGGAGTAAACTAAAATAATTGTAAACAGTGCAAACAAGAGCTTTGGTGTGCTGTTTTCGGGGGGTGTTGATTATGGGATCTCCCCTCTGTTGCTTGGTGTTTTGTATTTATAGGCGTTGACTTTTAACCGTTAAAATCATTGTTTTTTGGCCATTAAGCTAGCATTCGTGATTTCTCTCTTTAACAGCTAGAAACGTGCATCAAAACCGTGTTCAACCGACAACTCTCAAATGTCAAGTCTCTCACACCTCTTCGCCTTTCGACATCTTTGAAGATTTTTTCACATAAACATCTTTTTTCTCCTTGGACCTCGTCTGACTCAATTCTAACCGTCGAATCTTGCCATGGTCCTTCTTAGATTTTTTTAATTTTTTGGTATAAACAATGGCAAATTCAATTTTTATACTATTTTTTTTTCCATTTCAAAACCAATTTTCAATTTTGACCTCATTTTTATTTCTATTTCAATAATTGTATCAAATTTTGCTTATCAATTTGAAGAGAATTGAAATGAGTTGGGGTGAGTGTATATTTGTATGTGCGCTCACGTGGGAATTTAAGCTCGAGAACAGGGAAATTGAACGACTCCATAGCTATGGCTTTCGGTGGTTGTTCAAGCATGTTTGGATAATTGTGTAATTTATAAATGAACAAATTGAAATTGATTTTGTATAATTAGAAACTCTTTTGGTGTCATCATAATGAATTGTTAAAATTGTAATTGGTAAATTGGATTTTTAATTATAATTAATTTGGTGTAACAGAAAAATTGTCGATTATTAAAAATAGAGTAAATTATATTTTGACCCTCTCAACTATGATTATTTTTCATTATACCCCTTTAGTTATTGAATTTTTCACATGACCTCCTCAACTATTTTGATTATCTCACACTGATCTAATCACAAACATCCGTTATCGTTTTGAAAGAAAATTGTTGACGAATTGGGACAAAGTGAAAAATATTACATAGATCATGGGACAAAATAAAATAATTTTTCATTAAATATGTAATGGACGTTAGTAACTGAGGCAATGTGAAACTAATTGCATAGTTGAGGGTGCAATGTGAAAAATATAATAGTTAAGAGAGTTAAGTACAAA